GACTAACCTTTAAATCTTCTAGTTTTGGACACGAGTTTGCATAATTTCGCCAAAAATAGACTGAGGTAACCTGGAACCGGTTAACGAAGTCAACCTTAGACATCTTGACCCATGGAAGTTCGTTTCCCTCCAACTGAGAGTGAAGCACCATTAACTATCAACTAACAATGTCTTGTCCGCCATTAATGCTGGTAAATACGGTCATCTCCTCCCCTATTACCCATAGTACTCTGCTTCCTCTTTCATTTACAATCCGTACACTGCAAAGATTTTTTTTCCCTAAATTGCTTTTGCGATTGAACTGATTTGTTGGAAGCGTTGAAGCGAAATTAAAGCTACTGGGAAAGCCATTGAAGTCTGAAAATTGGCGCAGTAGAGGTATGCACTTCTTAGAACCCTAAAACGTAGTTTTTTCGATGTAAATTGCAAAATTGTTATCGTAATTTGTTGGTTTTATGGTCTGAAATTGCCCAGTAAAAATTGCGAATTGTTGCTATGTTAAGTTGTTAATTGAGTTGAAGTTAATTGAATTGTAGTTAAATGAATTATAGTTAATTTAATTGTAGTTAATTGAATTGTTGTTAATTGAATCGTTGTTGTTAATGTTGTGTCTGAAATTTGGTATTTTGATGTTGGTAAATGTTGTTAATGGACAACCATGGAACTTCAACCCCACATTTGGACCATTTTTCACCGACCTCACAACAGCATCTCTTCCGCAACTACATTTAATCCTCCCATATGAACCCCCCCCCCCCCCCTGATGAAGAAGAAGACCCTGATGTTTCAATTTGATGCTTAGCCCTCTCCATTGCTGCCAAACAATTTAGAACAAAATTTCGGTTCAAGGAATAAACAAAGCCACGAATTTTATTTTGAAGAAACAAAAAAAACCCAACGGTAAGTTCCACGTCACCAAGTAAACCAGTTACAACAGGTAACGTAACCTACTCAGTCTATTTTTGGCGAAATTATGCAAACTTGTGTCCAAAACTGGAAGATTTAAAGGTTAGTCTATTATTGGAGAGCCGGCTAAAGGTTAGTCCACTGATGTTAAATTTTCCTTTTTTATTTTGTTTTATTTTTTTTCTCCCTTTTATTTTTTTACGGGATGGACTTGTTGTACTACATGTGAAGATGAAACATTCTTATTATTTTTATTTCACAAATTATTATATTTGGTTGGCCACACGGTGTGACCAACCATCATGAGGTTATTTCGTTAATATTATAAGAGTTACTCGATTAGTGTTATAGCGGTCAAACTACTAAAAATTGGTCAAATTGCGATCGTTTTTCTATGACCGTCATCAAAACGGTCGCAAAATATGAAATCTGCGACCTTCTTGAAGGTAGTCGCAACATTGCGACCATTTTTGAAAGCGGTCGCAGATTTACGACCGTTTTTTCCCTTTTAAACCGTCGCAAGGGTATTTAAACAATTTTAAAATAATTTAAGAAAAAAAAAGAACTTTTGCGACCGCCAAAAATGGTTGTAAATTGCTACCGTTTTTTATGGTCGCTAAAGCCTTTATTTTAAAAACAAAATCGGGTATAAAAGGGTACCCAATTCATCCTAACCCTAATTTTCATTTAAACCTCACGCCGCTCTCTCCTCTGTCTCACAACCTCTCTCTTTTCTACCTCCTCTCTTCTCTTTCTTCTCTCTCCTCCTCCCCTATACCGGCGTTCGCATCTCTTTCCTCCGCCACCATCTTCACCGCCTCTCCTCCTCCTCCCTCTGTTCTCTTTTTCTTCTTCATTTTTTCTTTGTTCTTGTTCGAATTATGGTGTTATGGTCAAATTCGACCATAAAAGTTTCAGATTTGGAATTTTCATGGTCGAATTTGACCATATAAACCCAAAGAGAAATAAATATTGGGAAAGGTATGTCGATTTTCGATTTGTGGGTTTAATTCGTTTTTTATTCAATTTTTTGGTCGAATTTATGCGAGTTTAATTTTTTTCGATTTTACATATGTGGGTTTTATTTCATTCGATTTTATTTATGTGGATTTAAATTTTAGTTCGAATTCATATATGTGGGTATAATTTTTGTTCGATTTTATTTATGTGGGTTTAATTTTTTGTTTGTTGTTTTTTTTTTTTCAATTTATGTGGGTTTTTTTTTCTTTTTTGTTCGATTTTTTGGTCGAATTTTGTGGGTTGAATTTTTGGTCGATTTATTTGTTCGAATTTTGGTTCATTTTGGGTTTTATGTTATTTCGTTAATTATCAGTTTGATTTTTGTAAATTTTAGATTTGATTTTCGTTTTAAATTTGGATTGGATTTTTGGTAATTTTTTTTTATTTCGTTCGTTTGATTTTGTGGTTTGTTTTTGCTTTGTAATTTTGGTTTAATTTCAGCTAGGTTTCATTGGTGGTTGTTTTTGGGTTGATTTTCAAGGTTTATTTTTGGGTTGATTGGATTTGTATGATTTAGGTTTATTTTTTGTTTGATTTGATTTCTGGATTTTGATTGATATTTGGTTTCGTTTGTTTCCGTCTTTTTAATTTTTTTTTTAAAAACTTTTAGCGACTGTCTTTAGCCGTCGCAAATGAATTAATTTGCGACCGCTAGTATACCAGTTGCAATTAATAAAATTTGCAACCGCTAGTAAACCGGTCGCAATTAATAAAATTTGTGACGACTGTTTTAATAACGGTCGTTGAAAATATAGAAAACGGTCACAAATTTATTGCGACCGTCAATCAGTCGCAATAATGACTTTTTGCGACCAAGTGAATAACGACCACCACGTTACGACCGTTGACGATCGCAATTATTTTTAGCGACCGTTTTTGCTATTTTCAACGGCCATTTGCGACGGTCGCAAAAACCTTAATTTTTAGTTGTGTTATACAGTCCGTGTTTTAAGGGTTATTCGGTTAGTGTTATAGGGGTTATTGTGTTATTTACAAGCGACCATATGATGTAGTCAGCCGCACATTTTTGTTATAAGACACTATTCTCTCCACCTTAAAAAAAGATATTAAGTAAAAATAATTTAAGTTCAACAAAAATAGTTTCACTTCAATCAATATAACTTTAGTTTAATAAAAGTTATTTCATTTCAGTAAAATAATTTTTATTCAGTAAAAATCACTATCTTTAAAAAACATTGCACATATATAATCGAAAAACAATAAATATATGTTTTAATAGAGAAACATTTTTTTTTAAAAAAATTAGGGTTTCAAACACCGAAAATAGTTAATTTTTCAAAAATTTGACTATTTCTAACCCTTTCACTTTAATTTCTTTATTTATTATAGTAATTTATTTAGAATAAACTATTGTTTTAATGTAGAAAGTGCCCTATAATAGGTTTATTCAAGTTCAGATTTTTTGGTTTAGTATAGACAATTTGCCAGATCGATATTAAAATAAGGTTAATCCTTGGATTGCAATTAGATTAATTAGACAAGAATTACTTTCACGCTTGCAACAAATGTCTCTTAAATAAGAATGAGGGTATTTAGATGATTCCAGTTTTCCTATGACGAGAATTATTTTCACGCTTACAACAAATCCTTACACACCTCTTAAATATGAATGTGTGAGTGTATGTAAATCAATCATATTATAAAAATGAAAAATACAAATTATTCCAATTTTAACTTGTATTGTTAGATAAACACCGTCCAAAAATGAATAACTTTATTTTAGACACAGGGGAGACACAGGGGAAAAAGTACATTGGAAAACTTTCCCATAAATAATCATAAGGAATATAATACTCCTGTTGTCTCTATTTGTTTGGCCCATTGCTAATATTTGGGTCAAATTTTTATAACTTTGACCATTTATCATTGTTAATTTATAAGATATTATATAGTTAAATGAAGTCTTGTTGGATTCATCTTGTTGTATATTTTATTAATATCTAGTTTTATAATTTTTACGCTTATAAAAGTAAAGATATAAAGACGCTTTTTGGAGACCGTGATAAATTAAATGAGGCAAAAAATAAGGAATGGAGAAACTACGAGTACATAGTATATGTTCATGTAATCACTCCATCACTAATATCAGAGTATTGCTTGGAGCGAAAATCTAGTCTAAATTAGCTAGAAAAAGGGAAATGGGTAATTTAATAGTTGCTCTACCATTCTACCAACAGTCAACATGTAGCAAAGAGCTGAGACTGATCAGATCAAGTGGTATAATAAATTCATTAATGAAAGTGCAAATGGTATATCAAATTATTTTTCATCAAAGTTCTACAAATATGGAAGATCGATCTATTTTGGTATTATTAATTCAAGCTTACAATAATTTATAGGCAGAGCACTATGATAAGTTCATGTGAGAATCAAGAGATTCTTTATACGGAATAATGATTATTTTATTTCTAATCTTTAGATTTTTTTTTTGTTATGACTTTTACCTTTTTTTTTCTTGGACTATCATAAATTTAGGGTTTGTAGTGTTTAGAGTATAGAGGTTATGATACCATATCAGAAATTAATTTTTCATAATTGTATTAGAGTTTGAACAAAAGTATATATACAATCTAACAAGAGATTAGGGGTTATAACATTGATCCATTATCTATACACTATATGAGGCTTAACATATTACAATCAATATAATGGGAAGCTATATCCCAATGAATTTAGGGATAGTGAATATAGAAGTCTCTTGCATTGAATCATCAAGTGACTTTTTAAAAATTCTATTGTTAAAACTAAATACTATATGTGAAGTACATACTACACTGGTTACAGTTTTATACTCCTTTTATCTTTAAAATAAAAGTTTTTTTTTTTTTTTTTGACATTTATTATGAGATAATTACCATTTAAATAAGAAAGCATTACTTAAGATGTAGGAAAGAAAAATACATTAAGGAAATGTGACGAATGTTATGTGTTCATATAATAAGTCGTAATAGAGTATTGTATGGATCAAAAAACCTAGGCTATATTAGAAAATAGGAAACTAAAGTGGGTACTCCGTATTATAATAGTCGCTCTATTACCGGTCAACACGTAGCAAGAAAATTGATCAATTGAGGTTTCTTGAAAAGAACCCATCTAATATCTTCACATTTCTCTGTAATTCATTATGATTTAACCATCAATTAAAAATGATGCAAACTTATTTTATTAGCGTACAACTACAGATTGCCATGTTAGCCAGCAAGAAATATTAAAAAAATACATAAGAAGAAAGCACAAATTTTGGCATCCTCCCTCTATATAATAAATTAGGGTGCCCCAAAGACTAAGTCTAAATCTCGTAAACAACTTTTTCTGTTTTTACTTTCCTTACTTGAACAACTAAAGAAGTGTAAACAATATAATGACGCTGGATATGACTATGAAAGCATGGTTAGCAGAATTGGTAAGAGCTCTAATCTCTACTCAATTTACTTCTCCAAATGTCAATATTTAGTTTTTTTTTAGGGGAATGTCAATATTTAGTTACTTGTATTAATCACATTGCATTTTGTTTCACAAAAATTATGGTTTTCAATAGTAGCATAATCACAAATTTTGATCGAGTGACCTTTATTTGTCATCTATGATATATACAATGTATGAATCTAATTTTCAATTCTCATATTGTAGGTATTTATAAAACAGAAATGATGAATAAATACTACAAATTTTTAAATAAAATAACATTTATCCCAAAAAGTTATACTTCTTTTTTATTTATTTAAAACAGACCATTTTCATACGCGCTTTAAGGTAGATATTATATTATGAAAAAGACAAATTAATTGATAAAATTGTACCACCAATAAGAAGAAAGTGATAATAAATTGTTACGATTTAAATTTCATAGCTTAATTTATTTGTTTATGTATCTAATCACGGTCTTCAAATAATGCACTAAAATGATATTTTGTGAGTATAAAAAAAAAAGTCAGTAACGAGTAAGGACTTCGATAGTTACTCTCAATTTGTCGTTGACGTTTGGACTATTATTATTGGTCTATGTTATGAAAAGTGTAATTAACAAATTGATGGTATCAATTATTTGATGTAGGAAATGGAAATGGATCCAAATAATCCTAGTTTAATCGACGAACCTTATCAAAAAAGTGAAACAATGGAACCAACTTTTGAAGAACAACTCGCTGCTATACTTGGTAGCGATTTCCCTTATCCTATCTACACCACCAACGACGACACGGCCTCTCCTGAGGGAGCTTTTGATACTATTGATCAATGTATATCGACCCTTCATACTAGTGAAAATCACAACGATAACAACAACAATAATAAAAATGATAGCGATAACATTGTATGCTCTGATGCTCGAAAGAGGCAACCATCCAAAACTAAGAAAGAGACGAAGAAGCAAGCAATGAGTGTTGGTTCAAAGAGAAAGCGACAGCCAGGCCAAGTCCAAGATCATATTATTGCCGAGAGGAAACGGCGGGAACTACTCAGCCACATGATGATTTCACTCTCGGCCATGATTCCCGGCCTTAAGAAGGTGAACCTTTTTGTAACATTCTAAGTGATAATGTCTGTTTTACAAGTATATATAATTGATCTATTTACTATTATAATGTTATACAGATCGATAAAACATCAGTCTTAGGCGCGGCAATCAAACATATGAAGGAACTTCAAGAGAAAGTAAAGGTACTTGAAAGTGTAATTGCAAAGAGGACAGTGGTAGTTGTCAACAAATCTAAATTGAAAGCCGACAACGACAGTAGTGATGATAATGTTTCTTCGTCCACTGTGAATGACTGTTCTGGTGGTTGCAAAGATGGTGATGGTGATGGTGATGGCAATGGTAATGGTAATTGCAGTGGTAGTAGTGATTCAATACCGGAAATTGAAGTAAAGGTGATGGGGAAGGCACTTCTCTTAAGAATCTTTTGTGAAAAACAGAAGGGTATTTTCGTAAAGCTATTTGTAGAGGCACAAAAGCATGGTTTGTCCATTACTAATTTTAATGTTGCCCCATTAAGCGACATAGCCCTAGACATTACCATTGTTGCACAGGTGATTCACCTTCCGCATCTTTACTTCTTTTTTCCTTGAATCTTACAACACCTTTTATGTACACCGGGAGTACACAGAAGTAGGTGCACCCAAGGGTGGTTTATTTTTTGCTCACTTGATATATTTTTTTACTTATTTTAAAATTTTGAAAAGAGCAAAAATATATTAAACGAGCAGAAACTAACCCTGGTTGCACTTACATCTGAGTGTATTTTTTTTTAATTTTTTTTTTATGAATCTTTATTATTTTTGTTGATATTAATTAATTTTTCATTTGATTCATTTTTGCAGATGGAAAGGGGCTATGACAAGTATGTAAGAGATTTGGTTAAAATTCTTCGCAACGCCTTTCATTTAACTACCGACCATTCAAAATCGAACAAAAATGATTAATTTTTAATTGTTGAGCTTGTACGCTTTAATTTAAATTTGTTTTTTTTTTATGTTAGTACTTGCTTTTGGATTTTCATTCCATTTTAAGCTTAGGGAACAATTATAGTTTAATCATCATATGAATAATACATAGTAGGCAACTATATGCACGCAAGATATGGCTGCATACGCTCTGATATATGAAACATTTCCATTTGTGTCAACTCAAAATGTTTAACGAGATTATTGTATCATCCGAGCATAACGACGTCTATTATTATAAGAAAATAGAAGTTGATCGATCTATATGATTTGCATATGAAAGAGATCAAGAGGGTGAAATTGATTTTGTCTTGCCTTGTGGTCAAATCGACGAGATGATTCGGACAAATTGCTACATACTCATGTCTAGTATATTGATCGAAACAAACGTCGTTACTTAGGGCATTAGCTTTCCACCTCCATTTAGGGCCGAACAAAACTATATGAAAATATGAAAATCCGATAATCCAATCCGCATCCAATCCGAAAATTATGGATATCTGATCCAAAATTAATCAATTTCAAATCGGATATCCGATCCGAAAAAATTGGATATCGGATCGGATATCGAAATATCAGATTTCGGATATCCGATATCCGAAAAAAAATCAGATATCGAATATCCGATATGAATATCCGCTCTGATATCCGAAAAAATCACGTACATAGTAATTTTTTTACAGAGTACTTTTTAGTGACAACTTACTTTATTATATTTTATTTTTATTTCTTTAATAATATTTTCCCAAATACCTAAACCAACAAACCTAACTCATTCCCTCAAAACACCGCCCCTCTCTCTCTCTCTTCTCTATCTTCTCTCTCCTCTCAGATCTCAAAGGGTAAAACTTTCATCCTCTCAGATCTCCCTCAGTTCACCTCCATTGGCACCAACGACTTGCTCGCCTGACTTCCCTCCGTTGATCCTCACGCAACCACCAGCGCCATCCCTCCACCCTCCTCACGCAACCACCATCAACATCTGCAACAATAACCAACTGCGGCGTCGCTCCCTCGAGCTTCAATTCCTACCCACAACAATGCAACACCATCATTGATCCCCCTTTCACTCTTTCAGATCTCAAATCCCCTTTCAGATTTTGTTGTTGTGGATGATGAATTTGTAGCAGAGGAGAGAGAATTACTTTGAAATTTGTTTGTTTTACAATTGACAATGAGTTTAATTAATTTCTTTGTTTGTACTTTAGAATTGGATTTTAAAATTTCTATTCAATTTATCTTCTCCTTGAACAAATTGTTGCATTGAGTTAATCTCAAGTCTCACGTATTCAAATCATCACTATCTTCTTCAAACAAAACCAATAAATAATTTTAAGTAATTGCTATGTTTTGCCGCTCGATTCTATTTCATCCATCAAATTTTCTGTTACGACGGAGGTAGATTTCGATGGAATTTCGATCAAAAAACTAATTGAAGTTAAGAAGCAGTTTTAATCGGCAACGTAGAGGCGGTAAGTTTTGGTTGATGGTGGTCCTTTACTCCATGAGGTCTGAGTACGATAATATGAATTAGTGATAAAAGAGTCTAGGCCGCATCCGTCACAAGTGTCCACTTTATACGACTAAAAATGTTCCACCATATGACAATAAGGGGAGTAGCTCCTTAGCCTTATAAAGTGGATACGACTTTCCTTTTTTTCTTCTCAATATACCTCTTCACTTTTATACTTTTTTAATGTGTGACAACACTTTCACTCACATGTGAATATGCTCATAAACTCGACAATTAGTGAGAAGAAGGAGCTAAGTAAAGCGGTGTACTTTAATGCTGGACCACACAGAAATAGATGTTGCAGGGTGCATCTAAAAAATTGCGGTATTCATCTGTTAGTAAAATTGTAATGATTTGGCTCTCTAACTCTAACCGAATAGGACAATGATGAGACCACAACCCAATTCTACCTATGTAGTATTTACTATTTAGTGGGTGAAAGCTAAGCTACTATGGACTTTGGAATGAGAGAAAAGGTGATTGATTTGAAACCGCTTTAAGCGCAAATAAATATAGGGCTGACTGCTTATTATTAAGTCTGTATACAAAAACCTGTGTCTAGAGCCCAATTAATAACAAGTTGGACAGTAGATCTTAGCTGCACACTGATACTGCTAGGATTAGGGGTGAAACAAACTCGGTTTAAAACCGAACCAAACCGAAAATCGAACCGAATAAGAAATTTGGTTCGGTTTTTTTCGGGAGTGGTTCGGTTTCGGTTTTTTAAAAAAAAAAAAATTCGGTGTGTGGTTCGATTTCGGTTTGCGAAAATGAAAAACCGAACAAAACCGAACCACACCGAAATATAGGCCCAATCCAATTAAACCCTAGCCCAACTCTAAATTACCCTAGGTATTTAATGCAAAAAAAAAAAACCTAACACTCTCTCCCCCACCCTTTCTCTCTCCTTTCCTCTTCTCCTCTTGAGGATTCCGTCCATTCTCTCTCCTCTCCTCTTCTTCGTTTCTCGCCTTCACTATCTACGAACACCATCAACCTTTTTCTTGTCTTTCTCCTCGCCACCATTAACGAATACATCACGAATTTGCTTTCAAATTCGCCCTCCTTCACCATCTACGAAAACCATCTACTAAATTCGAGGTTTTGATTTAACACCATCAACTAAAGGTTTTTCATGTCAAATTCGACCATGAAAACTCTAGATCTAGAGTTTTCATGGTCGAATTTGACCTTTAAAAGCCAAATTCGATGTTTTTTCGATGGAATGTGAGGTATACCCTTTTTTTCTTTCTTTTAATTTGGTTTGAGTTTTTTTTTTCTACTAATTTATGCTAAACTTCTAATTTATGTCCAAATATTTTTCTGATATTTCGGCACTTTTTATTCAATTTTTTCTTATCATGTTAGAAAACTTGTTTAATTATGTTTGTATGGATTGGTTTTGTTTGGTTCGGTTTTGATTGGTGTGGTTTGATTTGGTTTTTTTTTTTTTGCAAAATTTGATGTTTATGGTACTTGATAAGAAAATTTGGTTTGGTTCGGTTTTTTTTTTTATGAAACCGAAATAATAATGGTTTGGTTTGGTTCGGTTTTGAAAGTAAAGAGGTGCGGTGTGGTTTCTAAAATCCAGAAACCGAATTAGAGTGGTTCGGTTTCGGTTTGGGCAAAAAACCAAACCGAAAACCGAACTTTCACCCCTAGCTAGGATAACTGCATGTCTGTACCACATCCAATAAAATAAATATTTAGTAAATAAAAATTAAAAACACGTAAAAAAAAAAACATTTAGTAGTAAAAAATAAACACGTAAAAAAATAAATATTTTTTTAAAAAATATGATCATTTAGTATATTAAAAATGAATATAATTATCATATTAAAAATAAATATCTAGTAAAAAAACATTATGAACAAGTAACAAAAAAAATAAAAAAATGAACATTTAGTAATAAAAAATGAACACGTAAAAAAAATGAACATTTAGTAGTAAAAAATGAACACATAAAGAAAAATGAACATTTAGTAGTAAAAAGTGAACACGTAAAAAATTTATTAACATTTAGTATATTAAAAATTAACATTTATCATACAATCATAGGATAGCTAGACCATACCTTATAAAATGAACATTTCAAAAAAATATATGAACACATTAAATAAAATGAAAATTTAGTATAAAAAAAATATATAAACACATCAAATAAAATAAACATACAGCATAAAAAAATTAACATTTCAAAACATGAACACATCAAACAAAAAATTATGAACATTTAATATATATAAAAAATGAACATGAGTTTCATATATTCATATATGTTCAATTTCATTGTATATAATTATTAACAAAAAATAAAGATACAGTAAATCGTTAAAATATGTTCTTTTTTTATGTATTAAATTTCATTTTGTACTAAATGTTCAATTTTAAAATTACGTGTTAATTTAATTTTTTTTTCCAGAAATTATACACAAGTTTGATTATAATTATTTTAACACTAACAATTTGAAAATTCACCCTAAATCTAATCTTGGTTCATCATAAAGACAATAATTATCAATCTAAATTAGAAATCACAAATCAAAATTGATAGAAATCAAAATTTTATATCATTAACATATTTATAAACAAAAAAAAATATCAAAATAACCTAACGATTCACAATCGCGACGAAGATAATGACAATGAAGATTGCTACAATGGTGAGAAATTGGAGGATGCCCAAAGTAGAAGAACAAATAATTTTAATGGTTAAAGAAAAACGAAGTAAGAAAGAAAATTAACTTATAAGAAAAGGAAAAAAAGAGGAGAAAGAAAATTTCGAAATTAGAAGATAACAGAGGAGAGAGAAAATTAATAGAGGTAAGAAAGAAGAAGAGAGAGAGTAAAAATATAAAGAAAGGAAAAAAAATCGTATGTTCATTTTTGAAGTATTGTATGTTCATATATATAGCTAGCTTAGCTGCACTAGTGTGTAGCTAAGAATTTGCGTAAGTTGGATGAGTTTAATGCACAATGCCTAGCGAGGTTAAGATAGCTTCTTGTCGTCCAGATTCAAGTTTAATGCATGCGCAAAGTATCTTGAAAATGATATTTCTTGAGATTATCGGTGTTCTACCAATAAAATTTTATTACTAATAAATACTTCCTCGGTTCTTTTTTACTTGACCTGTTTCTTTTATCACGCTTGCCAATGCAAAACTTTAACGATCAATAACTTTAATTCTCCATAAGTAAAAGTTATAAAAGTTATATATTATGATAGTACTTATTGAGACGAATTAAAAAAAATCCAACATGAATATATTTTTCCTTACATATTATTCACAAAAGACGGTCAAAGGAGGGGTGGTGAATAGTATAAAAGTCAAAGCGGGTCAAGTAAAAAAGAACGGAGAAAGTACGTGTTTTCTAGTTTTTTTCCTCATTTTATTTATTTAGTTATTTATTTATTCATTTATTATATATGTTGTTATTATTTTGAATGAATTGGCATTCTACCGTGATTCCAGAGTTTATTACACCATTATGAGGAGAACAGGAGGTTGGAGCTCATTCTGATCAAGATTTGAAGCATTGAATAAGGAAGGCCAAACCCAGTGAGGACAGTGAATAATGAAGCATTTGGATTTGTAATGATCGAGGCCTAATAAAAGAGGCCCAAGAAGAAGTCAGAAGCACAATAAAGGCCCAAAGTGACGCCTTAGAGCTCAGGCCTATAATCGGTAAAAGTAACTATTTTGTGGGTTACAAAAATCACCAAACATTTAAAATAAAATCAAAATCCGTTTTTCAACCACTTTCATAAGAATATAATGTAGGATTCTAGCATTATAATTCCGGTTCTTAATACTTACAACACACACTTTTCACGGTATTTAAGAAAAGTGAGCCTCACATGATTTAATACACTTAAAATAGGGATGAGAGATTGTTAGAAGTATAATTTAGTGGACCATGAGATTAAAATAAGGGTAATAGTACAACTTTCAACCAATTTTTTATTTTATTAATTTTTTTTATAGTGTGTTGCAACTAGACCAATCAATTCGGGTCAACGGGTTGGGTTTGGGTCATTTGGGTCGTTTGCTTCGAGTGATTTGGGTTGTTACAAAATAAGATAAATGTGTCAAATCGAGTTGATTTTGGGTCATTTCGGTCGGGTCAGATTTGGGGTTCTTTTTCAGTAACTTGGGCTTAGAATCGGGTCAGGTTACCGAATCGAGTCAGGAATTGATAGGTGTAGTTGCAAGTGTTATAACATTATCATTTTTGGGAAGTTTTGTAACTATTAAAAAACAAAGGAAGTATAGAATAAGAGACACATTTTTTTTTCCCTCTTTTCTTACCCAATTTCCCATAACCCCCAATTCCCCTTCCCTTTCATCGTAAAAAATTAGGTTCATGTACTACTTATTACTACATTTAGTACTTTTTTTTTTTTTTTTTAATGCAATACTTCTCATTACACACTTGCTAATGTGTTTATTTCAATCATTAATATGTTTTACTATTACGTGTAAAAATTATAAAAAATTGATAATAAATAAAGTATAAATCAAAAATTAATCTAACAAGATCACTTATGACTATATTTTTCTATTAATATAACTCATCAAATCTAGTCAAAGTGAAGTATATATAAATAGTGGAAAAGTCAAAATATTGTATTGAAAAGAAATTAAAAAAAAAAAACGAAGGAAGGAAGTATTTTATAAGTACTTCCTTCTAATTTTTTTTTTAAGCTAGTTTTTCACAAAATCTGAAATATATAAGATAGTTTTTCAGAAAAAGTCCCAACTCAAAAATTAAAGTTGAATGTTCCTTTGAGTATTACAAGTCAAGTGCCTAGTAAAAAATGTCTGTTCATAGTTAGACAGTCATTGTTACATAGTTAACTTCATAGTTTCTTATACATCAATGGATGATGGTAGAGTTTGGGGTTCAATATGTAATTGCCTCATTGGACCTAAAACATTTAAATGCTTTGAAAGGATGTTGACTTGGATTATAGTTCGATGTTTTTTACCTGAGTGGCTTGCTTATATCAACTAGATGTGTTTTTATCTCTATGATCTCAACGATATGAAGGGTTTGAACATAGTCCTATAGTTATGATGATATTTCTCTTTACTCTTGTAGTTAAGTTGATAAAAAGAGACTTCCATATTCAGCCACCTTCCCATAAGCCAAAAGAAAAAGAAAGCAGAGCGTTTGATATGCTCAATATGCACTTTTGACCTTCATTACTATGAAGTTTTTACAATATTACTTTGCTAGAGTAGCAACATTCTGATACCAATCTTGCTAGCTTCATGCACTACTTTTGTCTCTTGTAGAAAAAAATTTGTTCATGGCGATGTTATAAACTTTAATCACACTTCTTGATCCATATATGCTTAACTTCTTCATACAGTTATAGTCTGCTGCATTGTTTTGAAATACTGGTTCAGATTCAGCAATAAAGTTTGAAAAACTAACATTTTATCATAAGGTAAGAGAGTAAGACATAATCTTACCCCAATACTGTTGTTTCTCCTATTGCCTGATTTCTGTGCCTTTCAGGATGGCTTAATCGAAGATGGATTAGCTCATGTGGATCACCTCTGGTGGTTAAACCATTCGGCATCAAGGAATTGCTGCTGACTTCAGTCGCGTTTCCCACACTATAAAGCTGAGAAAGGTAATAAGCTGATTAGCTTAGACAAGCCAACAATCTGTCTCATATAAGTCTGTACAAATTATAATGGAAACAGAACAAGTAACTTGTGTAGATCATGTTTTCTTTTGATTGTCATAGGGTCTCGTACCTTCTTACACATTTCGGTGTTTTCTTGACGCATAAGGTTTACCTTTTCGCATAGCTCCATATTTTCCTGCTGAATGATATTCCCCTGTAAAAAGGAAATGGTATTAGAACTAACATAGTAAGATTTTGCTGTCATCTTTTCTGTTAAGAATATAAAAGGAAGGTAATAATCTTGTAAAGGACCTTGTGGTTAAGCTCTCGAATATCATTTGTAAGGATCTGTTCCTGCATTGGTAGGATGCATTGTTCAGTAAATTAAGACAACTAATTTTCATACTGAAACGAAGTTAACTAGCTAATTAGACTCTCAAGTAACGAGTTTCTTGCCTTTTTCATACGAACCCCTCGAAGACTCATTTCTAGTTGCTCTTCTAGGGATTGCAGCTCCTCTATGTTTAGACAGGAGAGCTTTTGTCCCATAAGTTGCCTGCCTTATCAGAATGGAAATGAAGTCCCTAAATTAGGGTATATGAACTGTTTGTTTATATATTAATCGAACTACTACACCAAATCATAATTACCCAAATGCCTCTTTAAGTTTTCTATTTAAGGTCAGATGGCTAGTAAGCTACGGAAGGGAATGATTAAACAAACAACCTTTTTCGTCCAGTTGCAAACTAATACGAGTAGTTACTATTTAGTATTATAATCAGAAGTCCTGCCTCCTCTAGTGAATGGCAAAAATTAAAAACAAAAACTAGTGATGAGAGAAAGCATACCGGTAGCTTTCGTGCAGGTCCTGCAGCTGCTGCCTTGTGATTTCAGCCTCCTGTCGCCAAAACTAGCATGTAAACTGTTATAATTAACACATTGTACTGCACCACATACTATCAACATGATCGTAATGATCACTTGTTATCTTCTTAATATAAGGCAGATGATAAAAGCTAAGTTTATGTAAATTCATCTTTAAGCATCTGAAAGAGATATACCTGATCCAAAGGTAAAATTTCTTCACCCTTTTCGACTCTTTCTAGTTTAAAGATGTCTTTTTTTTCATAAATGATCTGAGAACATTTCTCTACTAACAGCTGTGATGCTAATGTAAACTTGATTCTTGTTTTAAACTCACAAATATTCTTCAGAATAAGAATTTCTTAAGTATGCAGTCTTTTGGTGTGGAAGAATCTGCTTAATGTATGTGAGCACCCCTATTACAATGTATATATCTGTATTATTTAGCAGCAACAGTAAGTACAAACGAACTACATTATAATGGAATTATTGTTGACCACTTGACCTTAATCTTAAATCTTCTATGATTTGGTTTCTTTTGGTAACATAATTCCATTAAAGTATAGTTCGTTCATACCGACAGGCACAATGCTATGTACAATTGTACACATACACGATATACATTCATACTTATATTTGCACCTCTATACATACAAATATTTATGCATGGAGTGCTCAACTACATTGCATGGATCAACAATAAAAAAGAATTGGTGTTCAAAAATAAAAGCCAAAATTGCTATTCAACCTATATCAACTTGTTTTCCAATCCCTAGCTAGCACATAAACCGTGCTTATGTTTGGGGTTGAGCTACACTTTTTGAGCATTTAAGTATCATTGTAGTCTTGTTTGTGGTTTTGGACTTTCCACTTCAATGTTATAAACCTAGTACTCCCTCTCTCGATCCTTTTTGTTCTTCCCATGCCACTTTGACTTCTTTTGTTTCACAAAAGAAATCCATCCACAAGCGGAGAACATAAAGGATCGGATGGAGTAAGTTTTATCCTTTCTTTTGTATTCTTTGCTAGTTTGCTAGCATATTGGGAGGAGTGAATTATAATAGTACATCTACTTCATTTAAGGAAAGTTAGGTTTAGTAGTAATATACGGAGTATATGCAATAATGCAACTATTTAAATCTTAATTAAATAGAAAAAGATTTACAATAACATTAAGAATACCGTGACAAACAAAGATCATACCTTTAGTTCAGATTCTGAGTTCATATGGTGTTGCACATGCTTAGCTTTGTTATATCTTTCAATAACTGATTTCATGCTGCCAAGAGATGTATTAGATTGACACAATTAGACCATGTTTGTGTACTGCTAGAGAAGGGTGCATAAAAACATTGGGTAACTAGTCCTCATCCTAATTAAAACTATGATATCTAACTTTTACAATTGCATGTCCAAATCATCCACCCCTCTACCGCCTAATAATCCGAGTTTTATCCACTAACCTAAACCGGGCTGACTAATGCGAAAATTAATGTGGTGATTTTGATAGAGTATAAAACATATTCCTAGGCCTCAACCATCAGCTTAAACTTTTGGTTGAGTTGGCTTTATACCATGGTATCGGAGCTAACGTGATACAAAGGTCACGGGTTCGAATCTCATCCATCCACACTTTCAAGTGGAATATTAAGCACTGGGTATGAGGAGGGCTCATGCTGTATCCACAATTCAAGCTACAACCTCTCGTGTGAAGGGGCGTGATAGAGTATAAAACAAGAGGAGAAAGGAAAGGGACAGGAGGGTAAAAGATGAGTTTTTCTTCCAAATCTCTTTGTTGGAGAAATAAATTTCTTATAATTTAATCCCTTTATTTCTTTATCCTATAATTCCCTTCCACTTCATTTTCCAGTCCTTCCTTTCCCTCCATCTCCTTCAATCCAAACACACTATAAAAGCTACAATGAACATTTAATTTAATACGAATAAACATGTTTGATATAAATGTCCAAACTCAAAGAACATGTAGTTCAAATGTAAAATACATGTGTCATTGTTTTATTCATAAAGTGAAAGAACGAGGGTTGCACTGTATAGTAAATAATATAAATTAAATGAACATATACTTTAAAAGAATCAAAACCAAAAATATATTGTTCAAAACCAAAGAACATAAGTTATTAATTTGACCAGTTGCAGCATGAGCAGTGCATTCGAGTGCACCAACTAATTTACAATTCAATTAAGATGAATTAGATGGTTGATTGTACAGTTGAAATATATTTCAATGGGAGACAGAGGCGGAGCTAGGTGGGGACAAGGGGGGACAGCTGTCCCCACACCCCCCTCGCCCCCACCCACTTTTAAAAAAAAATGTTTTGAACAATTGTGAGTAGTACATTGACAAAGAATATGTGGTGGTCTAGTGGTTAAAGTGTCAACAAGGTTTGTTTGTGGTTGTGGGTTTAACCCCTACATCTAGCACTTTTTTTTTCTTGTTTATTTCTGTTTTAAAACTAGGTTAAGTCTCGTGCCATCTACGGTCATAATTAAATTTAATTTTACAACAAATAAATTATAAATAATGGTGTTAATTCAATAATAACTTATCCAAAAAAATTATTTGTAACAAAATAACTTGAATTTTAGTTTATACCAATACCAAATATGTAAAGGTTATTGAATTGTATTGCATAATATATATATATATATATATATATATATATATATATATATATATATATATATATATATATATATAATTTAGAAGCTATAAGGTAGTTTTATATAAGAAAATTAAAATATTAGCTTAGGTTAGTACCCATATACAAACTCATATACATTTATCCTTAAATTGTTGACTCACTTTGACCGGCATAATATGAAAATTTGATTGATTTTATTTACTTTAGGATAATTAGCATTCCGTAATCAACTTTTTTAAATATATTTTTAGTGAGTAGTAGAGGTTTTTATTTTTTAAATAATCACATAAATATTTAGAGTAATTAGATTTAATTTTCCAATATATATTATGTATACTATAATAAAATAATTTTTTTCTTATAAACGTTATGTAATTTTAAGATTTATACAAAGTATGCTACGTACCAAAATGATTTTTCTTTTTTAATTAAAATAAATTTTATTACAAATGATAAAAGTTGGAGAAAAAAAATTGATATTGATAATATTATAGTAATCTTGGAATATAATATATTACAGTACCTTATTTTTAATCTATGTTATCTACGTTAGTATTTTTATACTAGTATATAAAATATATGTAAAAAAAATTGAGTATAATTGGATTTAATATGTTGTCAAAATGGAAATTATTATCATTTTAGGTTATAAAATGAATGTCATAAAAAAATGGCAAATAAAATAAAAAAAAATAAAAAATAAAAATGAAAGAAAAAAAAGGCGGAAAAGAAATGACAAGTGTCATTCCAGGTTTCGCCTTTAGTATATAGTTAGTTATGATTATTGATTTTCCCCTTTCCTTGCTCGTATCCCTACTACTTCATACAAATGTTTTTTTTTTCCTTTTTTTTTAAAAAAAAATGTTATTCATTTATAAAACAATTCCTTTTTTTCACTCCCTTCCTTCGGTATGTAATTTTATTTCTCTTATATAACACCCAAAAGTAATTGTCGTTCCTTTCCCGACTCCCATTGATTCGATCAACTAGAAGTATTATGGAGTACTATTTGACGATATCATGCTCTAACTTCTAAATTACCTTAGCAATTTACATAAAATTTAAAATAATTGCACAAATTACAACCCCAAAATTATTAATTGGTTGTAATAATAAGGATTTTGGGCAAAGGTAATGATTTTATTACATATCTATTAATATAAATTAAACTGTCTAAGGTTTGAGAACTTTGAACTTATAAGAGAAAAGTCTTGTATCCGGGCTCCTAATTTTAAATTAGAAATTGTTAATTTGTTAGGATTATTATTTAAAATTCACATTTATGTATTATTTGATAATTTTGATTGTATATGACTTGGTAATTGATTTACATTTTTCAATTTAATTATTGATTGTTTTAAAAAAAAGTAAGAACTTGAAAATGAAATTGTTATTAAAAAAATTATACAACACATACAGTATATATTCAAGTACTTTTGTAAGAGTTTTTTTCTTTTCAAAATATAAAGCAACGTCCTTAAATTAGTCCTTCCCCCCACAATGACAATCTTGGCTTCGCCACTAATAGGAGATAAACTTTTTCATTTGAAGTAATGTATACGGTGTGAGGTTATGATATCTTTAACTCCCTTAACTGCGGTTGAGAATGAGAATATGAGTAGTGGAAAATTCGGTTGAAAAGTTAAAGTATGGATACATATGAAAATAAGAAAATTTATACAAATTACTTCATACTAGTTTTCACTTGTTTGATTGTTTAATAAGCAAAACTATTGAACATTATAATTTTTAACTAGTTTTCAATTGTTTGTTTATTTTATTGAGGAAAAATATTGACATAAATATTTTTTTAAGCACATAAATAAGAGTTTTAGATTTCAATATTTCCACAATTTTTTTGTTGGTTTTGGAAGGAAAACTAAGGAAATAAGAATTGCCCGGTTATAATTAGAAAGATTTCACGTATTTCCACAGATTAACTTTTCCTTTATTTTCTTTTACAATAAATAAACAAGATAAATATAGCAATTTATGTATATTTACAATTTTACACATAGTTTTTTCTTATTAATATTAAGTTGCTCAACACATTGTAAGGATAAAAGGCTTGATCGATGATATTTTAGATGTCTATTGGAGCGGCATAAATCTAAATATGGTCTCGGTGTCCCCAACTCGGCTAGCTCTCGCATCTTTGGTTTGTTTTTATTTTTTAATTAATAACCTTTCTAGCTTAAGGTGTGTTTAAATATATTAACTTTATTAAAGAAGTAAAGATAAAGATTCATAATGACTACATTGTGCATTTATGTATCCAAGCGCTAAAGGCATTAGGTTATTGCTTTTATGTGAAAATTAGATCAATTGGAGTATGTATTTCATTTGAAGATGTAAGTAAGAGAAGTGTTAAACCTTGGAATCAAAGGCATTAGGTTGCTTTTATTTTCATGAGATTATGGTAATGTTAGCAATATTATAGTGGTAGAATAGGTCAAAATATTAACTAAAGGTAGGTGTGATGAAGTGGTGTTCATTGTAGTGTTTACAAGGTAATTTAAACTTAGTGGTTGAGGTGGTTTTTGAAAAAAGCTTAATGTGTAAACTTTTTGGAATAGAAGTTTCTTTTGAAGGGAAAATATGGTTAAATTTTTGTTCTTTTACTATCCACAACTTGTTTAGCAGAATGCTAATAGCTAAGAAGAAATATATTTTGATAAAAATCTAATTGCTATCAAGTCGCTACAATAACTGATAACAAATATAGCAACTAATTTTATCAAACAGAGTGTATGTTGTTATTTAAATCATCCATATCTTAAAATTGCCTTTCACTAAGAAGTATCATAAATCCATCAAGTTTGAATATACCTATTATTGAAGTTTTAGCAATGGTCATACATATATATATATCAACACCTCGTGAGCAAGACTCACACAAGCAACTTAATCATTCATTCTAAATTTTAAGCTAAGGATATTCATTATGCTATTAATATTGGTCTTGATAGTGTCCATATCAAATTCGATTCAACCTTTGTCTAAAGTTAGTGGTCATATTAATAGTAATATATGAATTAATAATGAGACAAGCAATCAAATCCATAAAAGATTTATTAGTGTATATAACAAAATTATCAACTTAGTTTATGTCATTTTGCCTTGTTAAAGCTTTGATAAGCGGACAACCTTACTCCAAATTTACAAACTGATAGTATAGTTATGGTGTAAACTTTGAAATAATATTACTTTAGGATGAAGGATATACCCGTACAATTCATTTATCTAAACACAAGACAGGGGATGTTACAACCCTATACTATATAAAGTGTAAATAGGGTCAATGTACTAAAATTGTTGAGATTATACAGAATACTACATATTTATGTTGGCGATTTAAGAACTGACCTCTATATCAATTCAAAATATAGAAGTTGTAAAGTTGAATTTATCCGTGTTTGTATATCTAAATCTTGGCCTACAATGGGATTTGTATTGGGTTGTCTCGAGCATGTCAAATAATTCTTCAGCTTTTGCTTAAAACCAACAACTAAAATCTTGTCAATTTCTTTCGGAGAAAAGATTGGAACCATCTACATTAAATAATTATTTACATAGTATCTAAATTGCAGGAACTATATTATTAACCAACAAATTAATCATATAATATAAAGTTTAATTGAAAAATTAAATAAAATCAAACCTCGAGCTGGAATACTCATAAAGCTTTGAAGTGCTGGAAAATATGATAACTCCAACTTCAGCATCACAAAGAATAGCAAGCTCTTTAGATTTCTTCAATAAACCCTTTCTCCTCTTTGAGAAAGTCACCTGCCTACTCGTTGAGTTATCGATCCTTTCGATCACGATCTTCCCCCTTCCCATTATCGATCCTTAAGTTCTTCGTCTGTTACAAAAAACACAAACAAATCAAAGGGGAAACAATCAAGAAATTGAGCTCAATGATGAACAAAGCATCAAATCATACATAAATAGCCCCATTATTCCTAGGACTTACCCTAATTTAGTATACTTTTTCTATGATTCTGACCAGGAGAAAATATTTGTGCCCTAAAAGAATTAATTATAATGAAGATAATTAATTGTGGAGGGATTAATAAGTTTAATTTCAGCAGCTTGCTTGCAAATAGAGGCTGGAAAAACTATACTATATATTGTACAACCAAATAAGAGGTCCATATATAATTAACAAGTTGTTTATACGAGTATTAAATAATTAAACTTTGCCGTACAACATAATTATATAATTTATAAGAATTTGTACTTAATATAATATAATAATTTTTAGGGTGGTCCAAAATTATAATTTCCATTTAAGGTATAGAAGTTAAGGTACTTGAAGGCATGAGGGAGTAAATTAATTCAGTCTTTCTATGCATAGAAAATAAAATAGCGCCGTCAGGCGTATTCTTCACTGACACCTGGGATTGTAACAAAATTAGTTTAAAAAATAATACAACTTTTTTTATAAAAAAATGTATAAGTACTCCGTAAGAAATAACTAAAGTTAGATTGGATCCAAATATCTTCCTAAATTTAAATCAATCTGACCACGATTCAAACTATTAAAACTTGAAACTATTGACCCATTGATGTTTATAGATTTATTATTGATTTTCTAGCCCGATCTCGTTAGCTGCATAAGTATTTGGGGTTGACAATGTAATTAAAATTAGATATCTTCAAATAGTTCGCCAATACGGATTATATGAGAAATGATTTTAACACAACAAAATAAAATTGATTTTGGCACACTATTTGTGAGAACAAAATCTTTTATGCTCTTCTCACAATGAATTGTGCCGAAATCAATTTACTCGTAATATATATTTAGGGTGTGTTCAATTGACTTGATTTTCACTTATATGAACTTATCTTATCCTACATGAATATATTGGAACTTAGCTGACTTTATTTATCAACAGTAGCAACAGAGCTGAATTAATTTTTTTTTCTTTTTTAAAAAAAAAAGGAAAAAAAAAATAAATTTATTTAAACTTATTAAAAAATAATTCAGTCTTAATTTGAGGTGACCCTTATTAGAATTTGTTTTACCAAAATATTTCTATCTTAACTTATCATACTTGAAGTAATCGAAAATAAGAGAAACAAAATGGGACCTTATTCCTTTCATAAATACTTGGAACACTTGAGAATGCACGTAGTTTTAGAATTTAGGAAAAGTAATTGTAGATATTACATGGAATGAATAAACTAATTAAGGTTCAAGTGAAGTTAATAGGATACTAATAACCGAAGAAAATAACAATAAAGAGTTAGTACAATTAGTACAAGTGAGGTTAGTAGAAGAGAAAAACAGTTATGTAATAATGGTTCCTTGCTAAATTAAAAATAGTGTATTCTGAAATGGAACAAAAGAGGTAAATGTTGCAAATACTCAAAAATAAAGGATGTAGTACTGATAAACTTAAATTATAAAATAACGATAAATTTAAAATGCATATCGGGAATACAACAATTTTGTATGAAGACAAATTTATTTATAACTTATTTTTTTAATGGCAAAAAAGTGTTTTTGAATTGTGAAAATTTCAAAGTTTGTAGCTTAAGAAATTGGGGAGTGAGGGTTATTCAATATCATGACGAATATAAAAGGAAAACTGAACTTATACAAACTTAAGAGTTTCATCTAAACATTTAATCTGATTAAAGTAAGATTAATATAACCTACTAAATTTATATATTAGTTGTCCATGCACTTCTTTTTTCACGATTTATAACCAATTCAAAACATTTGGGACTGCTTGGTGTGATGGTAATCAAAGAGACGTAACACGTAAGGAGGCACAACCTCAAGAAGATCGAAAGAGAAAGAAGTTAGGGTTTACGCCGACAAAATGTAGGGCTTTTAATAGGTGTTTATACTCAACCTGACTGCTTTTAATTAGGCGAAGATGGGTTAAGGTTTGATTGGTAATGAGACATAGATTATAAGGATAAAAATCGTATCTACCATTATATTTTAATATAATAAATATGTGTATTGTTTGTCCCCAAAGTTTGACAACTTTGCTGGAAATTGTTCTTATTTAATGATATTCGCAGCTTGGTGTATATATATATAAGAGCAAAAGGAAGGTTCTTAGACTCTATACTAACTTAGACTAGTCAAATTCAATATCGTTACAATTTCTTTTTCACTATGTTACGTTATAGGAAATTTATTGAAGATGTTTTTCTTCAAAAGAAAAATTTAATGAAGATGTTGGATATTCTTCTAATTTAATTTGTTCTCGTTCTCTTTATTATCCATTTTAATTCAATGAAATTCTAGTATTTTGTCTCACTATTAGTAGGTAAGAAGAGCCGTATTCTCGTCCACTAATTCTTGCATCGGATTCTTTCAACAAGGCATGATGATCAATTTTAACACAACAACCACCATCTTTTATGAATAAACAATTACAAAGTGGTACTATGATATACTTAGTGGGCGGATCCAATTCCTATGTTGATGTTACATGGTATATATTCTGATATTCAAATGCAAAGTAACATAGTTGGTTACAATATATTCAGGCCAGTTTTAGCTTATAAACGTATGATCAAATCATGTCTATATTATCGGTATTTTGTTACTGTAAGTATTATGAAGGAATTATCTTATATAGTAATTCATCCTATTTGTATTTTATTGCCCTCGTCGCCCCACCCATCTCTTGCAGCCTTTTTCAACCATACCACCCCCCAATTATCGATCCCTTTGTAACTATCACTGTACCATCTCCACTCCTCCCTCGATCCAGATTGTTATTATACTTTTCTTTTATGTCCATTTCAATTTAATTTTAACAATTTCTTTGATTTATTAGTCAATCAAGATACAATTAATAAGTTAACAACTACTTATCGCATAAAAATTCAGTGCAAGATTTGTTGGACAACTAAATTAGAACGGTAAGAGTTCTTTGTATCCAATTGAGTTTTTCTCTCCTCCAAATTCCACCTTATATAGACATTATAGCAATGCACAAGTTTGAGCAACCGGCACACATGTGCATATATGTAAGGAAGTGCTTAAAATTCCATCAAGCAATAACTTAAACTTTTAAGGCATATTCAACCCTTAATAGTTGTTTATTGAGTTAAATATACAATAGTAGACATTTTAGCCACAACCACATGAGGAAATGGTGACTTTACATTTGCACCGGTGAAAACCCAAAAGGAGAAAACTCAACCTGAAAAAGTTTCCTCTTTTTTTGTACCTAAAACTCTTTTAATCAAATTTATAATCTTAATCATACCACTCTAGCACTTTGTTAATGCTAATGCATACATATGGTTGGGAGGTTGTTTTAGACACTAATCATAAAGACTACGATCGATGTCCTTAAACCTCGCTTCTAATTGGCTAATGCCCACGTGAATGTTAGTTCCTAGACCAATGAGATTCGTCCATTTGTGTAATCTTATAGAATCTGACTAATTATTTAATTAAGTAGACAAATTAAAAGGATTAAGGATTCCAACTAAGCAGATGACTAACCTTAGCCAGGTGTCAATCATCAACAAATGATATGGACTCAAAGTTCAAAAAAAAGGTACCCTTTCAAAAATAGTTTATCTTTCCAACAATAGAAATGTCTGCTGCGTGAGTTCATTACCCAAATTGAATATTTGGGATTTCCTAAAATTTTGAGAAAATCTTAACAGTAACAATAAAATACTATTCCTAATTACTTGGGGCGCATGAAGTTTATGATGCACTCTATAGAAGTGCGAAAGCATGCACATGGTTTTGCAGATTTTGGAAAAATATAGCATATAGTTTTTTTAGGATATGAATATATATTATAATTGAATCTTTATCTTTGTCCACCTGACGACTGGCGTATGTCTATTGCCCTAGAAATATGCATGGTATGGAGATATTTAATATTAAATTATGACACAGTAACATGCAAACACGAACAAATTAACAAGGAAAACTAATGTACACTTGATTGATGAACTTGCTCTTTCCCTAGCTAATACAAAAAAATAGTTGTAAACAAAAATCATGAAAGTAACTAAAAAGAAATAAAAGAATTTGGTTTCACGAAAATTCCTAAATGAGTGAAAAACTCAAAATTCATGGGAGTGATAGACTGGTAGTCTAATTTTTCTACTATAAGATAATAATAGGATTATAAGAGGATTTTGCTAGGTTAAAATAGTTTTTATAAAGTCCCTCACTTTTGATAGTAGTTTTCTTTCTCTCTCAAAGATGTTCTCACTACTCTTGTTGTTGATGTCAAACCCTAATAAAGTTTCTATATTTATAAATTGTCAAAAGAGGTCATATATTCTTCCATATAAACTCAGACAAAATCCCTGAGGAGAAATACAACTAGCCATATTCAACGAACCACGAAAATAGGACAAGTTCTAGAATTACTTTGTATTGATGTGTTATTCATGAATTAGATTCAATATTGAACAATTAAGTTCATGTAAGTTGTTGTCATTTTTTAATATTCAAATTCGTAAATACCAAGATTTTAATTAAAGAAAGAAAAGATTAAAGTTGAAGCCTTTGCACTTACGACATCTTATTCTCTCTTAGATATATATGGCTTATTTTGATGCAAAGATTGATGCTACGCATTGAAAATTTGGTGGGCCTCATCACCTAATTCTATGTTTGTTAATGCTATGTCATGCATCTCATGACGAGCACTCTAACCCTTAAGGGCTCAAACCACCTCGATTTCTTAGTAGCTGCATCATTTTGACTAACCACATTTGATAAAAAATACTCTATTTTGATCGTATCATTGACATATTTAATTATTATTATCTTTATTTTTTTTAGTTAACAAATTTTGACTTTAGCACTTATCACACGCTTCCCTTTGACCGTATTTTGTGATTTATACGTAATAAAAAATATAGTTATGTAGGATCTTGTTAGATTCGTCACGATATAAAATTTTAAAATATTAACTTTTTATAATTTTTGCTTATCATTAGGTTAAGATATTAATGGTTGAATGAGTGCATTGGCAAAACGTGACTAAAGAAACATGTCAACATAAAAGAAACGGAGGAAGTATTATTTAAGAAAATTATAAAAGAAAAAATCTATATATTAAAAGTATACATTACGATTGTAGGCGTCATTCGAAGCGCGCCTACGTTAAGCATGTTGTGAATATGCTTGGCACTCATAGGAAG